GCTGTTTTTTAACATTTCCATATTGTTTACCGCGGGGGGAAAATCCCACAATTCCTTGCACAAAAATGCATAAATCATATTAAACGAGCTGCCGAGATACAAAGGACTTTGGCAGCCCCGCGCCCTTCGCCGGCGGAGAGGGAAGTTGTCACTTACGTTGGACTTGGGCGACCCGGCCGACGCCCGCGCTNGCGCTGGCGCGCAGGACCCTCCTCCCGCGGACACTTCTGGTAAGTGCGCGTGTGAGCGCGTGTGGGCGCGTGTGGGCGCGTGTGGGTGCGTGTGGGTGCGTGTGGGTGCGTGTGAGCGCGTGTGGGCGCGTGTGCGTGTGCGGGCGGGCGGCGCGAGCGCCAGGCAGGTGCCCCAGGGGACACCCGTCCTCGGGAAGCGCGCGTGTGGACGCGGCCGAGCGCAGCGCGGGGGCTCGATTTCGGCTCCGCGTGGGGCAGAAATAAAGGAGCGTGGGGGCTGGAACCGAGTCGTCCTGTGTGGAAACTACCAGCCGACCACACGCCCTACACACACCCCAAGTCTCACCCGGATCCAGGGGCTCCCAGGCCTTTCCCCTGGTCTTCTTAATTTCCTTTAAGGGAGCAGGGCCGGCCCGAAAGGGGAGTTAGGAATTAAGCGGGGAGGCGGGCGTTGGATTGGTTCTCGCCTCCCCGCCTTTCCCTACCCTTTCTAAACTTCCTCCAGCTGCTGTCCGACGTCCCCCTGGAACCCCCATTTCCTTGTCTCTTCCCCGCCTCCCCCAGGCTCCTGCCCCGCTGCTCTTCTCTCCTAGCTCCATCCCCAACGCACTTTGTCGCCCAGGTCTGCTGGTCCCTCATTTAAAACGCATGTTTATGGAAATCTGCAAACCTCGAAAACACCCAAAAGGACAATTGTGAGGGTGCAGGAGCATTGGCTGGATGGAAGTGGGGGTGGGGAGGGGAGAGGAGGTGGGGTCAGGTGCCCCAGGACTGGCTGGCTCAGGCGGCTGCCGGGTGCCAAAGGGCTGAGGCCCACCCTGGAGCGGGCTCTGGGCCTGGGACTGCCAGTGGGTGCTGCCAGGCCAGGAGAGACCGGGTAAGGTCTGGGCAAGCTGCCCTCCAGGCCACCAAAGCTGCCCCTAATCCAGCTCAGCTCCCCCCTGTCCCCACCAGGTCCTGTCCTCTCTCCACTCCAGCTCTGTTCACCCACTGCAAGCTCCGGGGTGCAACAGTTACCTCAGGCTGCTCCCAGCAAAATTAGCCTGAGGACAAGGGTCCAGAGGGGTGGGAGGAGGCCCTGGACTGGTCACTAGAGGTGGTGGAGGCAGGTAGGTGCTGGGTGTGGGTCAGTTCTAGAGACAGAAGGGGAGGCTCATGGGTCCCCCATGAGATTCGAGCAGGGTGGGGAAGCCACTTCTCACTTGGGGTAACTCACATCTCTTCCTTGTGTGTCCCCCCCCATTTGGAAGGGTTCTCACCAAATCACCGGGCTAGGCACACACCTGCCAGAGACCTGCCTGCGTCTCCAAAAATGAACCCCCAGCCTGCCTGCCCCTAGGAAAATGGGGCTGATGGGGTTTGTGGGAACAGCCTATGGACACATGTTTAGGGTTCGGGGAAGTTTTCCTGCAGCTCGGGGAACCCTAATCATCACCAGCCAGGGAACAATATCCAATTACTTTGGGTCTTGGGAAGGCAGAGCCGGTGGAGGGAGAGCCCAGGGCCCCCGCTCGGCCCAAGCCGCCAGGTTAATTTCTCAGCCGGCCCCTGAAAACCAATTAGGCCGCCTCCTGAGAAACATTTTCCAGTTTCCTGGGCACTGTTGCCTCTGATTGCCTCGGCATTAAATGAGCCCAAGGCGGGGACTTCTGTGCATTCTTTCCTGTGACCCAGACCCCAAGTCACCGCAAGTTCTCTGCTGGTAAACCTGGACCCTGGCCTCCAGGCTGCCTGGCCAGGTGGGGGGAGGGGGGTGCAGGAGGAACGGACGAACGAGAAAGGAATGAAGAGAGAAATAATTGGGGGGTTGCAGCTCAGGTGTCCCCAAGTCCACCCAAACATTAAAATAACCCCGGGAAAGTGCCCTTTGAGAGCCGGGACCATCCAAACAAGCCGGGGGTGGGGGCAGAGAGGAGCCTGTCTTACACAGAAACCTCAAGCTGTTTCTGGAACATTTTAAAACGTGCTGGAGGCCCAACCTGGCCTCCTGCCGGATCTGGGACCCCACCCTGGCTGTGCTTTGGGGGGGGGGAAGCCCGCATTTCCAAGCCTCTGCTCATGGACCCGAGATGCGGCCCAGC